AAAAACAAACCAAGCCATACATTTTGGAAGATTGATTTCTGCATATAGTGGTATATTTTAGGACTTGGATATCATTACAGCAGAAAGTAATTTTTTTAAATGTTTATCTCCCTGAAAATTACATAATATATTCTAGAAAAATGATTTCTTTAAAATTACTGAAACCCTTCAATTAATAGAGCTGCTTGAACTTTCCGTAAGAAAGAAGTCTTTCTGTGAAAATTAGAAAACAACTCACTTTCCGTTTTGTAGTGGGCTGTCAAGTGAACCTCACTTATTCTTTATATGTATTTAGAATTTGGTGTTTGGGTGGCCCGGGTGACTCATTGGTTTAGCGCTGCCTTTGGCCTGGGGCCTGGGGCCTGATCCTAGAGACCTGGGATCAAGTCCCATGTCAGGCTCCCTGCGTGGAGCCTGCTTCTCCCTCTGCCTGTGTCTCTGCCTCTCTCTCTTTGTCTCTCATGAATAAATAAATAAAATCTTTAAAAAGGGGGGGGGGGCTGGACAACTTCATAGAAGCATAGCTAGAAGTAGAACCCAGATTTCCTAGGTAGAGCTCGAAGATTTTGTTTATTTAGCAATATTTTCTTAGCATAATTATAGACCATTTCTAGTATATGAGGAAAAAAGCAAGTCTGTTCTGCTCTAACAAAGTGCTGCTTAATTTGGGGGAGATTACAGACCCTGCTGAGAATACTGGCTGCCATTACTTTCATACCATGTATGCAAGTCACTTTAGATATGTCATTTCTAACCTACACAAAAGCTCTGCAAAGTATGATCTCCATTTTACAGTGAGAAAGCTTAGACTCAGAACATGTTAAAATAACTTCCTTAGGCCTGGCTAAGGAAGTTCCTTAGGAACTGGCTTAGACTAGATTTGACCTATGACTTCAGCCCCATGTACTTTACATTTCACTAGCACTTGTCAACTTCAGCAGATAGTCATGAGAGAACTCTTTAAGATACATTTTACTAATGACTGCACTGAAGTTTTCAGCAACTTACCTTTGGACTATATTATCTCCTTTGTGTTTTGATATGCTTTTTTGAATTGTCTAGAGAGTGTTGGAGTTCTAGCCATTGAGCCAGGAATTCACATACCCACAGCATGTCTCATCTGGCCTAGAGCCCATGGTGAGTTAGTGGCACATTGTTTGGTTTGGTTGGGACTTGTGAATTCCCAACAGTTTTGGTACTCTGCCTTCCTACAAAACTGTTTTGGGATTTCAAAATATGGATAAGCCATCTCTTATGAATGTTATCAAGAAAGTGAATGCCCTTTGTCAAAAAGAAAAAAAAATAAAGAAGAAACAAAAACTAAAACTGGAACATGTCCTAATGAAAAGAGGGATAAAGAAAAGGCAACTTGAGCTGTCTTTCCCCTACTCCTTTTATCTATTTATTTATTTATTTGTTTATTTATTTAAAAGATTTTATTTATCTATTCATGAGAGGCAGAGATGTAGGCAGAGGGAGAAGCGGGCTCCGTGCAGGGAGTCTGATGCGGCATTCCATCCCAGGACTCCAGGATCACACCCTGAGCCAAAGGCAGACAGGCACTCAACTGCTGAGCTACCCAGGTGTTCCTCCCCTACTCCTTTTAAAAAAATATACAGTTACCCATATCAAGAGTGTACAATTTTGAGTTACAGGGGAGCTTAGGATTATTTAAGTGATAAACTATATCAGAGTTTGGGAACAATTTAGGATACCTCAAGGATCAGTTTTATTTTTTGTTTTTGTTCTGTTGGGTTTTTTTAATCTTATTTTAAGATTTTATTTATTTATTCATGAGAGACAGAGAGAGAGAAAGAGGCAGAGATACAGGCAGAGGGCAAACCAGGCTCCATGCAGGAAGCTCAGCATGGGACTCGATCCTGGGTCTCCAGGATCATGCCCTGGGCTGAAGGCGGTGCTAAACTGCTGAGCCACCCAGGCTGCCCCCCCCCTTTTTTTTTTAAGATTTTATTTATTTATTCATGAGAGACAGAGAGAGAGAAAGAGGCAGAGATACAGGCAGAGGGAAAAGCAGGCTCCATGCAGGGAGCCTGACATGGGACTCGATCCTGGGTCTCCAGGATCACACCCTGGGCTGAAGGCGACGCTAAACTGCTGAGCCACTTGGGCTGCCCCGGTTTTGTATATTCTAATCAATGTTTGTTTTCTTTTCTTAGCATTAGCTCAGAAGCAGGCCTAGAAATTGATAGCCAGCAGGAGGAAGAACCTGTCCAAGCATCTGATGAATCAGATCTTCCTTCTACCAGCCAGGATCCTCCTTCCAGTTCCTCTGTAGGTAAGTTCCAGCTCTTGAGGGCAACACAACTGTTTACAACACAACTTGTTTACAAAAGATGATCTTATTAGTAACAAGTAGATAATTTTTTTTCTTAAATTTAAAATTTGGTATTTAAAGGGGAAATTGTATTTTATTAAAGGAAATGTAGTTTTAAGACTTGGTTGTACTAGAGGTGCAACCAGGGCTGTGAGGGATGGGTTACTGGGAGGGAAGCTAAGGAGCAGTATTTCAGGTCTCCTGCCTCTTTAAACCAGAGGAGCTTCTTATTTATTCTACATATTAAGATTCTTACATGAGATTTAATGTGGAGAGCTGAAGGGTAGGAGGTCTGTTACTCCAAAAGTATTTGAAATTTGCTGATGTAAACACTTTTCAAAGTTAGGCTTTCAAATTTTTGAAGTTAACTTTGAAAAGGGTTATTTTATGTATCTTTCTTGCAATAAAAATTATTTCTGTGGTACTTTAAAAAAATTAACATTTATTGAGCACTTACTGTGTATCAGATAGTATTCTAAGCCCTTTACATGTATTTACTTAATTCTTACATCACCTCAACATGGTAATCACTCATATGGAAACTGAGGCACAGAAATGTTGAATAACTTTTTCAAGAGTACATAGCAAGTAAATAATGGGCGCAAGCCAGGATACGAACTCAAGACATTTGGCTGCAAAGATTCCACTCTTAAACAATACGCTATACTAACTTAACTGTCTCAAAATTTTTAGGTAGGGAATTATTTTTATTACTGAAGAGATGGAGTAGCCAGTCATCCACACTATTTTTATTTTGAATTGTTTATAGCTAATTCTCAAATTCTGCCATGGAACCTTCAATCTGAGCAGTTATTCACTTGGTCAGTAAATATTTGAGTGCCTACTAGGTGCCAGGTGATTTGATAGAAAGCATTACTAAAAAAAATGACTTAAATAAAAATCTAGAAGGAGTAAGAGAGTAAAGCTGTGCAATTTTTTGGGAGGAAGGAGTTCCAGATGAGACATATAGCAGGTATCTATAAGGCAGCAGTGTGGTATATTCAGGATCAGTGAGGGGCCAGTGTGGTTAGAGCACAGCAAAGCCAGAGAGAGGCTAGTAGGAGTTTGGAGGGAGTGGGGAGAAGAGGCCTAATAGATCTTTGTAATTGCTTTGGCTTTCCTGGATTTAGGAAGCTTTTAGGGGGCTTCAGACAGTGATGGTAAGATCTGACTTATTAAAGATTTAACAGTATCAGTTTGGCTGCTGGTGTCAGCAAGAGACTGAAAATGTTTAATGGGTAGAAACAAGGAGAAAGTTCAGAAGATATTATAAATTCAAGGTAAGGACAAGGATTTTTCAGACAGGATAGTAGAGTGAAGTTTGTGAGAAGAGGTCAGATTTGGGGATATGTATTTAAATTCGAGCTGGCAAGATTTGCTAATGATTAGATTTGGAGTGTCTGGAAAAGAGGATTCAGATATGACTCACATTATATCGTAGGGGCCTGTTGCTTGTTGTTTCCTAAGGGGGATGATACGTGTTGATTGTTGATTATAGTCCCCACCCCCTAGCACAGTGATACATGATAGGCACCAAGTGAATATTTATTACATGAGTGGAGTGAATGAGTAAAAAAGTCAAGCCCTTTCTTTTTAGTAAGAATTTGTTTTTACTTTTTACTCTTTTTTTTTTTGTTAAGTGCCCCTTGTTAAAAAATCAAACAATTTTTAAATACTGAAAGCAAATGACACCTGCATTTTATCCATGCATTCATTTAGTAACTAGATTTTGCCATTATAAATGCTTTTCTTATTTATTAATTTGCTTTCTTATATTTTACTGTTTGGGTTTTTGTTTTTTTTTTTTTTTAGATACTAGCAGTAGTCAACCAAAGCCTTTCAGAAGAGTAAGACTTCAGACAACATTGAGACAAGGTGTCCGTGGTCGTCAGTTTAACAGACAGAGAGGTAAATTTCTGACATATTGATTATGTGATAGAATGTAGGATGGTAATAAGTGGCACATCCTTAAGTTTCTAACTTGTATTAGTTTTTTTTTTTAATGTTCCAAAGATTGATTAAATAATTATACATTGAGCATGTGATGTTTACTAATCTGTAAGCTGCTTGTAGGAAGATTTGTAAACTATAGGTATAGAATGAATATGTGCTTATATTTCATATTTATTCATTTCTTCCTTGAATTCAAATAAGATTTGGAGAAGCTAAAGTGTTAATGGTACTAGACAGTCATTTGTTACATCTCTGCCTGTTGTTAAACTTTTTACACAACAGAATAAAGCTTTGTGACTTTGTTTAACTAATTAAAAATTTTAATATTTCCATGTTTTCTAATGTAACCCTTAGAGATTGTATTCATGCCATGAAAATATTAATCTAATTGTAATAATTTTCAACTGAAGGTGTGTGAAATGTCTAACAGTTTTATATCTATATACCTAGATATTTGTTATTGCAAACAATTTTTATAGTGACCTAGGGTAAGTGAATACTCCAGTTTTGAGCTAACTTCTTAAAAGATACATTCAGTTTGGTTATTTTTTTCTCTTATAGGTGTGAGCCATGCAATGGGAGGGAGAGGAGGAATAAATAGAGGAAATATTAATTAAATGTCCTGTAAACTGTAATAATTGTGAATAAGATTCTCAAGCCTGTTTTAGTATAATGATTGTCGAGATTAAAAACATTTTTGTATTTAAATTGGTATGCTTCTCTCAACATTCTTTATTAATAAAATGTATTTCAGTGTCAAAATTTTTCATTCTTCATTTAATTAGTTGACTTCTTTGCCTGTGGGTCTAAGGACAGTTGTACCAGATATTGGATAAGGTCCTCCCAAAACGAGTAGTAACGACTCTTGCTGTTCTGCTGGGTACATCAATGTTATAGTATTGATCTGAATAGAAGAGAAATCATTTTTTAATTAAAAAGACAAAAAAAAAAAACACCTAAACTTAAAAATAGTTTCTGTTTACTATTATATTCAAAGATACTGTTTATCATTTTAATATCAGAAATGTTTGTATTAAGTAATTTGAACCTTCTGACAAAAACTAAAACAATTGCCTTGACAGACTGACCATTCACCATCTTTCTGTAAAATGAGAGTCAGTTCTCCTTTTTCAAAGTAAGAATTTGAGAAAAACTAAGTCTAAAAAATAATAAATCACTTGAGCTTTTTCCCTTAAACAAGAATTTTGACATCATTTATATAGGTAGAATAACTTAGATTTCTGAATTTTTCAAAGAAAAGTGCCCTGGTAGTAACATTTAATTAATAAAGTTAGTTTCTCAAGAATTTCTTTGTGATCTTCAGGACTTGTGTAATGATGCAAATCAGTAGTATTTTGTGGCACCTGGGACCTCTGTTAAATGCCACAGGTAACAGAAGTAAAATATTATTCTTATTAGCAGTTTTACTCAAGTAATTGGATGATTTAGCATTATAGGCTTTAATCTCATGAAGGATAGTGCAGAACTGAATTGCAGCCCATTGAATTTGATGGGAGTAAAGTGAAAATCAGAACTTTCTCTTCTTTAGAGCAATTACAATAATTATAGTTTAACTTCTGACCTTAAGTCACCATTGAACATTTGTTTTTGCTTTGATTATATTCATATTTTAGAGATTAGAGCACATCCTTAAGCGTAGAAGAAGTTACTTAATTACTTACTCCTAGAAAAGGCATAGTAATCATAGCCATCAGGTTTTCTGATGTTGGGCAGTGCTATAGCTGAAGTAACCACATTTGGAAATCCTCTCCACTGTGAACTCATTTTGACTTCATTATGGAGGAAACCTGTAGGTTTAAAGATAGCAGCCTGAAAGTCATATACTACAGGAAAGAGCAGCCATTAGAGTCCAACAGACCTGAGTTTGAATTCCATTTTGGTCACATAGTAGCTCTGTGATGTTGGGTGAGTTATTTAACTTAGGCACCTCAGTTTTTGTCACCTCTGACGTGGTGCAAGTATCTACCTGTTTGTACTCTTCTGAGATTTACAGAGGTAATGTTCTTGGTAAAAGGTACTTGATAAATGGTATTTATTATAAATAACAAACCTGAATAAATTACATTCTTTACTCACAGAAAAATTATATAGATCTAGATCTAGTCATTTACTGAGGCACAAATTGATGTTTTGCATCAACAAGCTTTAAATTATTAGGGCTATTTAGTCACTATTTATATTCAATAAGCTTCATTCTGTAAGATAAACTGTACTGCATCTATGTCCCATGTAAGAATTTTTTAACACAGTAAGAAACATTACCTTTATCTTGATAAGAGACTCTGATGGGTGAAAAGTGAATTCTGATGGTGTGTGTTTGAGAAGGTCCTATGGCGCGTTCAAAGCGACGTCTTCTAACCTGTGTTGTTTCTCCATACACTGGGTAATTGATAGCGGGCCTTCTTCCAGTGCACTTTTTGATGGGTTCCTGTTTATAAGTGTACTGCTGAATGCTGCCACCTGTTATGTATTAGAAAATTACATGTGATAAGAAAATTAAGTTTAATCCCCCAGAAAGGTGAAAAAGAGCTTTTACAAGGTAGAGGAAACAATCAGTGTTTTTTTGTAGACTGTGTTTAGACATTAATGGCTGTTAGCCAAGGGAATTATAAAATAATTGCTATGGAACGCCTGGGTGGCTCAGCAGTTTAGCGCCTGCCTTCGGCCGGGATCGAGTCCCGCATCGGGCTCTCTGCATGAAGCCTGCTTCTCCCTCTGCCTGTGTCTCTGCCTCTCTCTCTGTGTGTGTCTCTTATGAATAAATAAATAAAATCTTTAAAAAACAGTAATTTTTAAATGCTGAAATACTTGTTGAATGAATAAAGCCAACAAAGTGCATAGTTCTATATATACTTAACTTTGTTTGAAAGTAAATGATGACATTTACATTAGTGATCTGAAAATTCAGATGAAATTGTAATATGCATGCTAAAGAGCTTTGAATACTTTTTACTGTCCTCGGTTTTTTCATTGGAAAGATTTGATTCCAGCCATTAAAGATCCTTTTGACAGTAAACCCAATAATAAATGAAAATTTGAATAAAACTTCCCAGGCAAATCAATTCTTAAAAAAGTTTTGTAATTTTGTCAATTATGTAACACATACCTCTCTTGAAAAAATACACAGATTCAGGTCTGTCCTTGTATTTAGCTATTGAGAGAGCTGCCACTATTCTTCCATTTAGTCCTCCAAATCCTTTTACAATTTGTTTGGGATACCCTGCATCTTTTATATCATTGGTGAAACGCCAGTACTGGGAACCCTGATAATTTAACAGAGGAAATAGTGTTAATTGCTTTGGAATAAAAAAGTTAGGGATTCATTCTTAGATATAAATATAGGGAGAAAGTTTTAACTTTGTTAAGTGAATAAATTGGTCTTTAATGTTACCAAATTGTTAGCTTCTTATTAAATGTTGATGATAGAATAGTTTAATAGAATATGGAGACCCTTCTGAAGTGGAGGTTAAGCTGATTTATGCTCTTACGATAAAGAATACCTAGTTGCTGATTTCTCTCAGATATTTTTCTTACCTTAAAGATGAAAGTTTTTCCTTCACAGTTGCACCTAGTAAAAACAGTATCAATGGGGGAGGGAATACCCCAAACTTCAGTAATTTTACGAGGTGGAGATGGTGGATTGGATGGACTCAGCATCCAGAAATAATGACCTGAAATTGAAAGTGACAGGTGAGCCTCCTGAATGAATACTGTAACTTATCCCCAAAAGAAATCAAAATGAAAAATTGTTAACTAGCTCATCATCAAGAAAAACAGAATGTGTTGGCACACATTATGTAACAAGTTTAGTCAACATTGTGAGAACTAGTGTAGCAGTATTTGAACTGCTGAGAGTAGATATTTCTCAGGTCTGAGGTGTAGTATAGCCTTTGAAATATTTTTAGTTTTCCAGTTTCTCTAAAAAGATCCTTCTGGCTTTGTGACTTATGGAAAGTCACTTATCTCCATTTCTTTATCTTTTAGTTAAAGAGTTATAATTCAGTGACTGCTAAAAATCTCTAGCCTCTACTGTGCTAATAGTGTATGATTTGTTTCCTTTCAGATTTAATCTAATTATAAGAGGACCAGCAGTTGGTATAGCAGAGAAGTGACATGAAGTAACTACTGTTCTCCTGTTAGGGTCCCAGAGGATGTAGCACTGTTGAATGCATTGCGATCAAGATGTTATTTTTACATAGAATAGAGCAAGGAATACAAATCCTAATGTCATATTATTTGATATGAGATTAAAACTTGAACTACTTGAATTCCTAGTGGAAAGAAAAATTCACTAGTATCCATTCAAGCTCTTAGTTTTATTTGTTACTCTAATGTGTCTAATAATGTTAATCTGAAAAACAGGTAATCGTTCTCAGGTTCTCATAATACTGTGTGAGGGAAGTTTATCAGTCAGGTTCCCCTCCAGAAACTTTGACCCAGACTTTCACTCTCCTTTGGTTCTCATAAAGAATAAAATGATAGGCAGAAGAAGAAATAATGTGCGCAGCTCACCTCGAAATGCGACCATGGTTCCATTGCGCAGAGTAGTCAGTCCATCTACTGGCTTACCGTTGCATAAATTAGTCTCATCTAAAACAAAAAATTAAGCCAATATAAAAGAAAATTAGAAGAATGTTCATGTTTTACAAATCCTTCCACAGGGTTGTTTCCTCTGTTCACCTTTCCCTAAGCTCTTGAAGGGGCTAGTGGGAAACTTCAGGGGCTATTTCAGAAATTGAAAAGAAGAGCTATATTTCATAATTAACTTAAGGTGATATTACCCAAAAATAATACATAAAAATAAATCTGAGATTGAAATGGGCCAGGTTACCTGATGTTCATGTGAATTATAATTGTTGAATGCTTGATCCCAACACAAAACTCCCATTTTTCAGTCCTGATTGCCCCTTAGAATTGGTTTGAAAAAGGGAATAATATTGCAAATTTTTTGCTTTGCATTATACTCTTTTAAGGATACAGTCCCAACTAAATATTTTTGACATTCTATACACCATCTCTACATACAGACATAGAGGCACCAAATTCCTTATTACTCGATTTTCCAAAGACCACATAATCTTACATAATTTTACTCCTGCTTACCTATGGAGAAGCTGTAAAACTCCACAAGTTAACAAGTTCAGGGTTCTAGGTAATATATATCAACAGCTTGATACTAACTCAGGGCATTCTGGCCCAGATAAATTTCTCAACTTAAAGTTTAACAACATTACCAATTTTAAAACTGGAAGTAACTGATGCTTATTACCTGAAAGCATGGGATTGATGGCAATGTCTTGATTGGATCCTCTCACTAAGATATCAGTCCCTGGGATAAATATAGGAGTTAACACAGGGGGCCTGGGGAACATGTGAGGTTTTTTTCCAGCAGCATCTGTATCTTCATTTGGATTTACTTCAACTATTTCTGAGTCAGGTCTTTGGTTGGGGCTGGTAGTAGTTTGAAGCATGGCTTCCACTGAAGAGGTAGGGTGTAATTTGGGCATTGTCGATGTAGTCATCTTTGGGGGAGTTGGTGTAGTCTTTGGTTTTCTTCCTTTAGGTATTGTGTTTGGCTTTTTGGTAGAAGCGGGCTTCTTTGGTGCTTTGGTTGGCTTTCGGGGTCTAGGAGTTGAGACTTTAGTACTCGTAGCTGTATCTTTTGGCACAGCTGTGGTTTCTTCAGGTTTATTCATAGTCTCTTCAGTTGTAGTTGTCTTTTGTGTTGCAGTCATTACTTTGGGTGCAAGAGTTGTTGCTTTAGGAGTATTTTTGGACGATGTGGTAGATGTTACTTGTGTGGTTGTACTTGTTTTGGACTCAGTGGTCATTTCTTCTGTTGGAGTTGCTGTCTCCTGGGTTGTAATCTTAGGTACAGCAGTTGTAATTTCAGGTATGATGTCTTTTTCTGCTGTTTTATCTTTAGCTGTTGTAGTCATTTCAGGTTTGGTCACTTCAGGAGCCTTGGTTATAGGTACAACTGGTTCTTTGGGACTGTTTTCAAGAGGCTTTGGTGTGGGTTCTGCAGGGAACTTAGGAGTTGACTCAGCAGGTTCTTGGAGTAGTGGGAGGCTCCATGGTCGTAGTTGTAGTAGAGGCCTCTGAGGTGGTTGGAGCAGGCGTCTCAAGAGAGGCTGGAGCAGGCTCCTTGGGGAGTTTGGGTGTGGGCTCCTTGGTGGTGGTGGGAACCTGTTCCTTGGATGTGGTGGGTGCAGATTCCTTGTTGGGGGCAGTGGGTTCAGGCTCCTTGGGGGCAGTGGGTTCAGGCTCCTTGGGGGCAGTGGGTGCAGGTTCCTTGGGAGTGGTGGGTACAGGCTCCTTGGGGGCCATAGGTTCAGGCTCCTTGGGGACAGTGGGTACAGGCTCCTTGGGGGTGGTGGGTGTAGGCTCCTTGGAGGCCATGGGTTCAGGCTCCTTGGGGCCGTGGGTTCAGGCTCCTTGGGGGCAGTAGGTGCAGGGTCCTTGGGGGTGGTGGGAGTAGGTTCCTTGGGACTGGTAGGTGCAGGGTCCTTGGTGGTGGTAGGAGCAGGTTCCTTAGGGGTGGTAGTTGCAGGCTCCTTGGGGGGAGTGGGTTCAGGCTCCTTGGGGGTTGTGGGCACAGGCTCTTTGGGAGTGGTGGGTTCAGGCTTGTTGGGAGTAGTTGGTGCAGGCTCCTTAGTGATAGTGGGTGCAGGCTCCTTGGGAGTGGTGGCAGCTGGTTTCTTGGTGGTGGGAGCAGCCCCTTTAGGAGTGGTGGGTTCAGGCTTCTTGGGGGTGGTAGGTGGCTCCTTGGTGGTAGTAGGTACAGGCTCCTTGGGAGTAGTGGGAGCAGGCTCCTTGGGGGTGGTGGGAGCAGGCTCCTTGGGAGTGGTGGGTTCAGGTTTCTTGGGGGTGGTGGGTGGCTCCTTGGTGGTAGTAGGTACAGGCTCCTTGCGAGTAGTAGGAGCAGGCTCTTTGGGAGTGGTGGGTACAGGCTCCTTGGGAGTGGTGGGAGCAGGCTCTTTGGGAGTGGTGGGTTCAGGCTTCTTGGGGGTGGTGGGTGGCTCCTTGGTGGTAGTAGGTACAGGCTCCTTGGGAGTAGTGGGAGCAGGCTCCTTGGGGGTGGTGGGTGCAGGCTCCTTGGGAGTGATGGGTTCAGGTTCCTTGGTGGTAGTGGGTACAGGCTCCTTGGGAGTGGTAGGAGCAGGCTCCTTGGGAGTGGTGGGTTCAGGCTTCTTGGGGGTGGTGGGTGGCTCCTTGGTGGTAGTAGGTACAGGCTCCTTGGGAGTGGTGGGAGCAGGCTTCTTGGGGGTGGTGGGAGCGGGCTCCTTGGTGGTGGTGGGAGCAGGCTCCTTGGGAGTGGTGGGTTCAGGTTTCTTGGGGGTGGTGGGTGGCTCCTTGGTGGTAGTGGGTACAGGCTCCTTGGGAGTAGTGGGTACAGGCTCCTTGGGAGTAGTGGGAGCAGGCTTCTTGGGGGTGGTGGGAGTGGGCTCCTTGGTGGTGGTGGGAGCAGGCTCCTTGGGAGTGGTGGGTTCAGGTTTCTTGGGGGTGGTGGGTGGCTCCTTGGTGGTAGTGGGTACAGGCTCCTTGGGAGTAGTGGGAGCAGGTTTCTTGGGGGTAGTGGGTACAGGCTTCTTGGTGGTGGTAGGAGTGGGCTCCTTGGTGGTGGTGGGAGCAGGAGATTTGGTTGTACTTTCAGCTTTGGGTGTAGATTTAACAGGAGCTTTGGTTGTGGGTACAAAATCTTTAGCAGGTGTTTTCTCTGCACTTCGTGTCTCTTTAGCTGAAGTAATCTTCTCTTTTGCTTTACTTGAAGTCTCTTTGTTTGCTAAAGTCTCTTTACTTTTAACTGTTGTCTCCTTATTAGGTGTTGAAGAGGTCTCTTTGGATGTATCAGTATTAGGTGGAAGACTAGGTTTAGGATTTACTGGTTTGCCTGTTGTAAACTTGGGAGATGTGGTAACTTTATTGCGTTGGGTGGTAGGAATGTCAGGAGTTGGGGTGAGCTTGATGTCACCATTGTCCAGTCCACTTCCAGCTTCATCTACAACTGGTGGTTCTGGCGGAGGTTTCTTTTTAGGAGTTCTTTCCTTCTTGTTATCTTTTACTAGAAAAAAATATACACATCTTTTATTTTTGAGTAGTTTTCTCTTCAATAGTGACCTAAAAATCCCATCTTTATCAACTAGCCATGTATTCCAAGCAAATTGCTAACCTGTAATATGTCTATTAATGTATTACAAAATGGTAAATACTGGACTTATCTGATTGGGCTATCTTAGGGAATTGATGAATTGATGAACTGATGAATTGATGAATTGATGAAAAGATTCACCCCAGGAATCTGCTCCAGTCACACCAATGGTCCCTCCTAAACTCTATTTCCATACCCACAGCTGTTAGCTGCTCTCTTTCCTTGGTACACCTAAACTCAGCAGACCATGGGATACAGAGAGGAGATTGCGGCCATGGCAGCAAAAGATGCTGTTTAACAGGATTTCTCATAGCAGCTACCCCAAAGGTGAATTTCAGAGCCCAAAGAGCACATGAAGAGTTCATCATTGAGATGAGTTCCATTTAGCACACGTGTGCTGCACATCTATGGTGTGCAGGACTCTCTTGATGATTCAAAAACTATGTATTTGGCTATTCAGCCAGAGAAAAGGCTTCAGGGGAAATAACAACCACCCAGGAAATAAAAGTTCTTCAAAACTCCAGTATCCAAAATTCAGTATTTCCTGGAGAAAGAGAATATATTTTAGAATTTCAGGAAATAATGAAAAGCAGAACAAAGGGAATCTCTTTTCAGGAAGTAATAGCCTACAAAAAAAAAATCAGCCAGATATGACCTATAATTCATTAGAAAAATAATAAAAAGGAGCTGTAAAATATGAATAATAATATCGCCTTTCCCAGAGATGTATATGAGACCTTAATGGATTAACATGTTAAAATACTTGAAGCAGCCTATAAATGTTTGCAAAATAAAATAAGTGAAAATTAAAGGAAAAATAAAAACACAAGGAACACAGAGGAAGAAGAAAGAAAAATGATAATAGGTAGACATGAATTAAAATTGAAAACCATAAATGTAAACCATATATCTTGTGTCTTCCTGTGGTCCCAGAGCTACTGCCCTAGCATCTTCTTATCATTTGTTTTAAAGAGTGGTTTCTTAGCTGCTTTTCACTATTAGGAAGTTCTCATTAGTATCTTCTAAAATAATTTTTACAAATCTGTACATGCCCCAAGTACTGAAATGTGCTCAAATCATTCTACCAACACTCATTGCTTTTAGATAATTATTGTTAATATGGCATTGATATAGTCTTTGATCTTTATCAATGCTCAAACCTTTGGGTTTCTTCTTTAATTCTTTATTAGCTGCTGAGTTTTTGGAAGACTTGATTTTCCGAATAGTTGAAGAGGAAGAGGAAGAGGAGGAGGAAGACTCTTGGTTTTCAGAAACAGAATGTTCTATAAATCAAATAAAAAGGTTGATCACACCAACTGTAATTTAAAACAAAAAACTGCCAGTCCAAATACAATAAGAAATACTGTTTACTGAGCTACAAATGTCCATATTCTGCTTTTATTTTATCAGTAATAGGATCAACTGTTCTTATAACGTCCATTAAAAGCAAGATGGCTAAACTTCTCACCGATACTAGCAATATAACTATATTACTTTCTCTCAACTTTATCCTCTCTCACAGATTGTAATTATTCTGCAGAAAATCACCTGGGATTTTTTTTTTTCCCTGATGTGCTTCTTCTGATTATTTTAACCTACACTCATGCTGGGCTCAGTTATAAGAAAAATAAATAGCTGACGGTTTATAATTTGGCTTAAATTTTGACTTCGAACACATTTTTAAAAGGGTAATGAGCCTTTCATGACTCATGTGATTCCCTTATTCTATGAAGTCTTACAAAATTAGTCCACCTACAGCTTAGTCTGTCTCAAAACCTTTTATTACATCTATCATCTTCCTACCTTCTGTTATTTCCTCTGATTCTATAACTTTCTTAGTCTTCTTCTTATTTGGTGCTTTGGGTGAACGTTTGGTTGTTGATTTGATGGTTTGAGATGCTCCTGGAGATGGAGGTGCAGTCTTTGAAGATGGAGGTGATGTGGGATTATGCACTGAGGCCAAGCAAGACAGATAGATTAACATCTTGTTGACAGTCATCAGCAGCTCTTAATTGTGAAAGGCACAGATGCATCTAGCTCCAAGAATCAATGCTGGTGAAAACCAGCGCAGGCAGTCTCTTAGCCTAAAGATAGCTACTCTAAAGTAATTAATTCTGAAGACTCATTGCTACAAAATATTGGTTCTCAAATTGTTATAAATTACAAGGGGCAAGGGCTGCGGGGTCAAAGAACTTGAATTCTAGTCGTAGACCTGCAAATGAGCTAATAACCCCCACTTGAACTTTGTTTTCTTATCTGCAAACTGAGATGCTTATTCTAGGTGATTTCTGAAGATATTTCCTGGCCTAAAAAATACTTGACTCTCTCAGCTCCATCCCTTATGCCAATCTTCTGTGATGGTAGAAATAATTACTGTGTGCAGATGACAGGTATTTGTGCTCCCAGGAAGAGAAATATAATAACTACATTTGTCCCGTTTTCATAGTCATTATTTAAATTGATTTACAAATGATGCCAATTCATCTTTTCATTTAAATCAAATGATGTCAATTCCCCCTTTCAATTCATGTAGAACGAAAGATCTACATGAATGTTTACTCTTATAAAAAGTTCACACCTTCACATTATGCTTTTCTCAAAATGTGTTGCCCTTCTCCAAGTTAAACAACCATTGTTAATGTTTTGGTGTGTATCTTTGAAACCTTTCTCTCCGGTCCGCCTACCCTTTCTATGTCTGGAAGAGAAGGCATGGGACGGGTTTTGATCATTGGGAACCAGAAGAAAAGCAGAGGGTCTTCTGAAAGATAAGAAAGCGGAGAACGGTGGGGACACTCTGGGTAGAAAGAGTTATGATAAATCCTGCTGCTCTTACTGAACATTCCCTAGGAACTCTGACCAATGCTGAAAACCACACTCCTTCCTCTGTTTCCCCCACCAAGTAGATCAATTTAAGAAACAGTTCTGACATACTAGCTAGTGATCCTGAACCAAATACCTCTTGGACTGTTGACTCACATTTCTTCAGTTCTCAAAAGGTTACAATTTTGAGATACAGAGATGCCTACAAACAGTATCTATAGTAATCCTGAAACAACTAAGAGGCCTTACTGACTCGTAAGATATTTTGATGGTTATTTTTTTTTTAAGAAGTGGTGAAGCTCTGGGTGGTTGCATTCTTTTCGGTTGAAGCCCTGTTTCTGTGAGTTCTGTAAACGCAGCATGACGTTCATCAATTTTTTTTCGTCGAGTTCCACATAAGCCTTGGGTAGTCTGGCCCACCACCCAGTAGCATAAAGCATTGTCTTTATTAACATGTTCTTTCAATGCTTCATCATACTCTAACCATCCTTCCTCCCCACCCATCCTCTCCACAAAATAAAGTCTTAGTGTTTTGTCTCATAGTCAAAACAATTATCAGGGCACTGAGTAAATACGTATCCTTCATCATAGGTCCTTCTGAGAGCTGCAGGAACTCTGCACTCTGAGATTTTTATTATAAGGGTGTTGTCTCCATCATTTCTGAAATGCCATCCAATGAAAACATTGAACAGTTAAGAATTAGCCCTTGACTATGCTGATTAACAGGTTTTTACCCTATTTCTCCACTGTTCAAAAGAAGCAAGACGTACAGCCTTGTTTAAATAAAATGATAAGATTATGCAAGCAATGTCTAGCTTTGCTTTTACCTCCACAAATATTGTTTTAAAAAGTAGAATTTAAGAATAAACATTTGGTAAAAGAAAGGAATTCATTATTTATTTAAGTATTTAAAAACATTTTTTTTTAAATCTGGAGAGTTTTATTATACTCCCAGAGTACTCCATCAGGAACTATAACCAGAGGAGAGGATTTTAAAATGGGACAATATCTCTTTTTACCAACTCTATCCCATACAGGAATTTAGACAGTGATGAACATGGACTGCCACAGTAGGAAGGGACCTAACAACAGATGGTTAACCTTGGTAGGTTTGCCCATGAATTAAACATCTTCAACTCCTAAATCAATGAGTTGAGGGAAGCCGAGAGTGCCATTCTGTCCTTCAACATACACTCAAAAACACTAAAGCCGAAAACATGGCTAGCTCAAAGGACCACTGACTCTGTGGGGTCAGCACCATTAGGATGAGACAAGAAATCACTGAGTGAGCCGGTTACTGTTGGTTTTACCTGCAGTTGGACTGCACCTGAGGAAAAAACATGTACACTCAACCCCTATCCTTCCTGTTCCTTTAACAGCAGTCTGGCGCTCCAGGAGCCTGGTGGAACCAGGCCGTGCTGTTGGGAGAGGCTTTCCATTTTTTATTCATCTTGGATGACGCAAAATTAATACAAAATGGTTTGCATTAGTAAAATCAAGTCCCTAGATGGAGGGCATATTAGACATGATCAGCGAAGCTAAGGTAGGCGGGCAGATCTGGCTGTACCGAGAGGCAGTGATTAACCCCATGATGCTTACCTCTTCCACAAAAATCCTCATAATCGGGACAGCACTTGCCATACTTCTTACAATCTGAGTCACAGTCACACTCCCTCCCTCGTGCAAAGGACTCGAAGCAGCGACCTTTACAGGAAAGCTCTACCCAGAGCAAAACAAGACATTATAGATTATTAATGATGCAGCTATACCCATGTACTCATAGCCATTTCCCACCTTATAGCTGGCTAGAGTTCCAAAAGTGCATTTCGGAGTTTTTTATTTGGAATTTGGAAAAATGGGTGGTTTTCCAAGTGGAGAAGTCAAGAGAGAAATATGGTGACTCAGAGAAGCTTTCCTTGCCCTTCAAGGCTCCAATAGTCACCCAAGTGCTGTTGGAGTCATTTCACATATGTATATTGGAAAAGTGGGGACCCTTCATATGAAATCCCTCCATCCTCTCCACCTTTCACCATGCTTTGTAATAGATATTTATTCAGTGAACGTTTAGATCTTACAACAACATTCCAAAGAGCTGGCTTAAAGTAGATTGGACACTGTTTAGGCTCAAAAATCATTTATAATGCAGAGAGTTTTATTGTGATAAACTGGGCAAGGTGGAGGGTTGAAAGATTTCAGCCTAATCCCATGGCATGGATTATGCCTTCTCATTTCAAAACAAGCCTTGGTTAGAAGCACAATAACTTAGCAAGGCCTATTTGAAACAGTTACCTCATACAACACATAACTGTACAGCAATATATTTATCAACTTCCCATACAAATTCCAAAGTGAACATAATAACTCTGAACCACTCTTAATTGTAACTTTCAAAAGTTGGATATGAAATGTCCCTGTGTTAACAAAACGATCCAAAATGTGTTCAAGGAAAATGCCACTCATAATTTAAAATTCAGACCCTTTGGGTTTTAACTGAAATTCTTCGTTAAACACTATTAAGGGATCCTGTCACTAAGCAATTACATCTCTGATTCGTAGTGAATATTTACCCATTGGTATTTACTTAGTGACTCCTGAGTCACAGTATTCTCTACTTAAAACAAAACATTTTACTTAGGACTAGTCAATAACCTTGTGCACCTGACAGATTTCCAGGGCTCCCTCTCCCGCCCTCCCCCAGGAGTCATGAGCTTTGACACCATCATTAGGTACAGCACACTGCAACATGTATGCGAGGAAGGGAAAGGCACTTGAGCAAAAAGAAGCACAAGAGTGTGGAAAAAGCACTGCAGGGGGTGCACGGGGACTCACAGAACGGTGTTGCTTGATAGGGGAGACACCAGCTGTCAGGACTTACCCACAGTGCAGGCTTTCTTGAAATCAGGGCAGCACTCCATGTAGTGTTGACAGTTATAATCACAGTTGCAGATGGCATCTCTAGAATACCCTTCCCCACATCTCCCTGCACAGCTTGGTAAATCTAAAAATTATACAATACTAGCGTAAACATGGCCAAACTGCTTCACAGGAAGGAAGAGTTCTAAATGAGAAGGATAAAGCCACTTGGTGAGGGAGAATTTTTATCAGTTGGAAAAGGATGGGAATAATGGGTAGCAATGGGTCCAGGTGGCCTTTGCCTGATCTTCCATGTGACCTTGATCGTGCCACTTTATTCCTCACTAGACAGAGAAGATAAAGACACTTTTGAGAATCAGGCAAAGCTAACGGGCTTTGCATAAAGTGGGTGACATTCCTGGAGGAGGGTGGCAGCTTCAGGTCTCCCCAGACTGTTGCTGAGATGATGACGAGTTGACATTTATTGAGCATGTCTGTGCCGGGCATTGAGTCATAAATTATCTCTAATGTTTATGAAAACGTTGCCAGGAGAGTATTAGTAGCCCCTTTTGAAAGATAAGGAAGCTGAAACACATTTTAATAACTAGCTCAGGGACACCCAGCTAGTTAATAGTTCCAGGATATATGTATTATATATAGGTCAATTAATACCTACTAACTATTCGTATTGACCTATTTTACTCTTAGAAGCATCCTGATTTGGGTAATAAATTATATGGTCACCTGGAATTTGAACTCTGATATCTCTGATTCTAAAGTCCACACTTTTCCCACCCAATCATGTTGCCTCTCATCTCTCATGTTGGGTTTAAAACAAGCTGGTCATGCCAAGCAAAAACTTCCCTAGGCTTCCTCTTCTTTTTTGAGGATAACTGGGTTCTTTAAATGTTGAGGAAATCAGATGCATACAACCATGGCTACAGTGAGTACAAAATAGATAACCATTCAAATAGCATCTGGGCATGAATATAAAAGTCAGAGATATTCTGGGTAAAACAAAACAAAAATACAAACAAAAGTGTAATGACATAAAAATATATTTGAGAATATATTTTTTAAAATCCTTGGAAAACATCTTCCTGAGAGATAACCACAAAAATGTAACAATTGAATCCATCTCTGGAATAGAAATTGGCAGGTGCAATGTCCTAAAGCCATACAGGGACGTTGAACCACACTGAAAAAATCTCAAAATAATGAGTTCAGGAAAGTGAAAGTCTTCACATGCAAAGAAAATAGTAAATATTAGGACAATCTTCACAACCTCTTTCATACATATGTGCACAATACATACAAAAATGCATATATAGTGTATGTATATAAATACATATATTATATATAAAGGAAAAGAAGAATAACAGGTTTAGGAGGCAAGACAAGCAGACAACACAACATTAAAGGCTATTCTTTTCTAGTTAACAGATTTCTGAATTAGGAAATCAGTTATCTTTATAGGAAGAGCTTATTTTCGTAGATTAAATGACTGTCCTTTAATTCCTGTTAATTTTAACAACCAATTTTAAATTCACTCATTTAAAGGAAGTAAAACCATTTTAGAGAACAATTGTTCTTATTACAGAGGATATGTAGATTAGGAAACACTTTCAGTGTTGTGAGCCTTGTAATACTACCATGAGAGAGCAGAGGTTAGCGTGGTGGCCATCATTCCTTCCTATATATTCACATTTGCTTTCATGTGTTCTTCCATCTTATCTAAATGATTCTGAAACTATGTTCATGGCAGGCAGTTATCTCTCATGCTTAGGCTTGTGGGAATTTTAACTATTTTCCTGGAAGTGTCTATTTTGTAAATATAATTTCACCATAACAACCATGCATCTTGATTTTTCTTCTCTCCAGTTTTGCTTATCAAAGAAAAAAAAAACTAAAATCCAACTCTTGGTATTATTGTTGCTAATCAACCTTGATCGCATGCTAGAGACTTTGGCTAAGGTGATTGCATTGGATGTATCTTAACATTCTCTAGTGAATAACAAGAACTGTTCATCCAGGACTGACTGTTTTTGGAAGACTGTGAATAGTTTACTATCATAATATAAGATGACATTTATGCAAGTGTAAGTCCGTATCTGGGTAACTAGTCCTTACAAGAAAGATAGAACTTTCAAAATTAATACAAGGCCATTTGAAAATTTGTAAATGTTTACTGTAAGATAATATCTAGTCTTACATGATGCCAAAATAAATCATCAATAATTTATGTAATGTAAAAGACTAAATTTATAATAAACATGGAAGGCAAAATTACATGTTATTTCAACACTGTTCTTTTCAATTCATCTGATGATAACTGTATCACACTAGCATAGTTTTATCCCGTGTCTAAATCTTGTTGAAATTTTGGAGAACCATAAGAATAATGAGCACAAAAATTATTCTATAGAAAAGCTCAAAACTTGAAAGACTTCATAAGACATGAGAAAAAAGTGAGAAATTCAAAATGCTTATAAATACCCCACATATGCTTCACATAATTTTAAAATTGTACTATACATTAAGCTCAAGCAAATACACGTTTTAGAAATCTATTCCATCGTCAAGATAATCAAAACAGAATAATTAGCAACAGTCTTTAAATAAAAGTCTTTTTGATGGTTAAGATACCTTGAGAAGAAACTTGCTGAATCAAGAAAACAGAGAGGAGCAGCAAGTATATGGGAAGTATTTTCCACTGCATGGCTGTTTCCAAGGACCGACCCCTCACTGAAAAGAAAAGAAATGGATCAGAAAACTGCTCTTTAATCTCACCACTAATTTATCCTGTTACTCACTGTGTTTCAGTAACTTTTAAAAGGCTATTTAATCGTAAAACCATCCCACTCCTGAAACAAGACTTTTAAAGATAATCAGGCTTAATTCTATCATAAATATTTGAGCATTAGATTTAATCTAATGCAGAAGAAATCACCAAGCACCATCTTGATCATGTTAGCGACCATTTAGTACTTTAGAATTCCTCTCAAATGGAAAACAGCCTTATCTCAACACTATTTAAATTATAGCATATACTTACAGGTTTAAATCCCAGCTTGGGGGGGAAAAATAATCAGCTTCAGTAAAATTTAATTTAGCAAACACAGAAGTGACCGTTCCAACTTTCCCTGAACTCCCCGTATAATTTTGTGAGCTTCCAACAGGTGTATCCCATAGCTGTGATCCTTTTCAAAACTTCCCTACTACTACCCTTATAAATCTTTTTCAAACCTCTTGAATAAAGCATATCCCTATTGAACTGAAAACACATTTAATTCCACGAAGCAAGTTAACTTTGACACTTACCGGTAAAAGCAATAGAGTTTTCCCGATGTCCTGGAAGTCTTATATATCAGTGCAAATATATTGGGATGAACCAATTAGTCCAAAGGTTAGACAAAATCAACAATGACAACCTCTGAAATCAAACTTTCCTCATTTGTTGGAAGAGGGCCCAGACAGCTAGACTTAGGCAACATCTGGAAAATACTCCCATTAAGAAAAATGACTACTACAAAATAAATTTAGGGTTATTGGCCAAAACATACTTCTAATTTCTGAGTGAAATGAACAAATTGTTCTGAGGTGGTAAATAGTTCTGGCCAGTCTTGACTAGCGAGCATATCAAAGCAGCAGTGTCAAAAAATAGTCAAATGTTTGTGTCACTTCTTGCTTTTTTTTTTTTTCCAGTTAAATCTAGCAAAGGGGGATTTTGAAACTGTGAATTTGTGGTGTAAATTTTCTTAACTTACACAATTAAATAAAATGCATATTTCTTGAGTATTTGCCTTCTCACTGAGCACAGAGAATATACTCCAATTTGCTGCATGGTCTAGATGGTCTACACTGGATTTTCTAGTTTCCTTTACCATGTTAAAACAAAAACAAAAAAACAAACCCTGCTTCTTTGAAACTGTAGATTTCTCCCTTTAGCCCCTTTATTTGAGCATGGCAGTGTTTGGGAACAGTCTTTAAAATTGCTAATTTAGCTTCTGTACCACAGGAAATGTGAATTGTCCTCTTGCAGAGCGAAGTCACCTCCGCTCAAGGTTGCAGCTCGGTTTAATGCCAAATGTTCCTGTTAAAATCCTATCTACCAGGGCCCCTCGGTGGTGCAGTTGGTTAAGTACTGGACCTGTGGCTTTGGCTCAGGTTATGATCTCAGGGTCATGAGATTGAGCCCCATGTCGTGCTCTGTACTCAGCAGAGTCTACTTAAGATTCTCTCTCCTTCTCCCTCTGCCCCTCACCCTTGTGTTCATGCTCTCTCTCTCTCTCTCAAATAAATAAATCTTTAAGGGAAAAAAATCCTATCTACCTACATAGAGCCTACCTTGTATCCTACTACCTCCCTGAAAACTTCCCAGAGCAACCCTACCCATGTCCAGAATCACAGTCAACAAAGGAACTATGTTTCGAAGCAATCATCTGTTTGTCTCCTGCCTACTCCCCCAGACTGTGGTTTCTCCAAGGACAACCAACGCCTGTGCCTTCGTTCTGTTGCCAACATGTAGTCCGGTGCTTCACCAAGGTGGTGTGTTTATTGTCTGCTCATTGAACCAAACTGTTGTATTCCACTGTGTACAAGGTATTTGGTCAGTACTGGATTTAAGTATCACAAAATGCCTTTAAGTTCAATATAATCCTCCAACGTTTAATCCTTCAAATAAAATGAAGACCCACAAATGAAAAATCTGTGACCCACTGAGGGTACATAAGGAGTAGGAGCCATAGCCAAGATTTAAACCCATGTCTTTTCATTTAAAGTTCCCTCCTATTTCTACAAAGTGAGAGTCACTGGAGGGGAGGTGGATGGGTGGATGGGTGGATGGGGTAACTGGGTGATGGGCATTAAGGAGGGCACAAGATATAATGAGCACTGGATGTTGTATGAATCACAGAATTCTATCTCTGATAATTCAGTATATGTTAATGAAATTAAATTTAAATTAAAAATAAAGTTCCCTCATGTCTCTACTATATCCAGCCCCTTTTATCAAACCCATCACTCAGTGTTTAATCATAATACTAACTTTGACTCCTTCATGTATATAATATGGGTTTATGAGATTGTGACCTTTGTGAAGACCCATTATAAGCATCTCTTTTGTTCCCACAATGCTTATTCTGGGCTAAATATATCATGTAAAAGGACAGTTTAGAGACTGTCTGCTCACCTCTAAATAATCTCCTTCCTCTGGGAACTACCTTCTCATCTTTAGAGGTATTTCCCTTTTAGCCACTTTCATATGTATGATTTGGCCACATTCACCATAGCTGATAGGATTAGGAAGAGAAACCTGAAATAAATTGGGTCAATATGTTTTCCTTTCCTGGAAAGTTGGAATTGTGATTCAGATACGACAAGTCTATCTAGGTAGACCTCTAACAGATAAACTTCTGTCTGTGGTCTGAAGAAGCAGAGAAAATCCTTGAGAATCAGGGGGTGCAAATGCAAGAAGTAGTCATGCAAAGTGAAGCAGAGTTCTGATAGCTTTCTGGTCTTGGTTACTCCTTGTTTCTGAGACTCAGATGTCTCCTTTCAATGTATCTTTATGGTAGGCTCCCCCTTTGGGGTTGAAGCTGACTGAAGATGTTTTCTGCTACTTAAAATCATTAATCAACACAGAGTAAAGGTATAAAAGATCCTTTTGGGTGGAGTTCAACCAAATTCTCTTCATTCTTAGCTTTACTGAGGACAAGATGGGGAAGCTAGAAGTTTTGTAACGTTTTCAAGTCAGACCTTTACAGAGTTCCCTTGTACTTTTTTTCAAAATGCTGGGAATACCAGGAATAGCAGAAACACATATACACTCATAACACATATTCTTAAAATATAAACTGCTTTCTAATTATTGCCTTTTAGACCTATCTACACTATTCTTTTTCTTGTTTGGACAAATTCTTGTAATGATGGCAAATGACATTTTTTTTTAAGATTTTATTTATTTATTTATTTATTTATTTATTTATTTGACAGAGAGAAAGAGCACAAGCAGGGGGAGTGGCAGGTAGGTGGGGAGGGAGAAGCAGGCTCCCTGCTCTGCAGGGCTCCATGTGGGGCTTGATCCCAAGACCCTAGGATCGTGACCCAAGCCAAAGGCAGATGCCTAACCAACTGAGCCAGCCGGATGCCCCAGCAGATGACATTCTTAACCTGACTGAAAAATCTGCTCTAGTAACACTTGTTCTTAAGTCTAGGTTCTATTCTAAAGTTGGAAACTGAAAAATAAAGCAAAACACACATACACACAATTATGAACAACAACTTTAAACATATCCATTAACACATTTTCATTTTCTTCAAATGTGTTTTCTCTGCATAATAAAGAATGAAAACCTTTATTAAATGCCAAGTTCATGAGGTTTAACTTATCAATACTTGATATGCATAATTCTATTGGGTAATAAGGCTATCTAGGTAAGTAAAGTTTGCCCTTAAGGCATGGAAACATTTTAATTTTATCTATTAACTATATCTTTCTAAACTGTACTAAATGCATCATTCTGTGAATATTGGACCAATTAACCCTCCTTGCTGATCACATAGCAATCATCCCATTAGGTTATAGGTACCCTCTTTGAGATTTCTTTTCTCATTAAAGGCATTATTTTTAGCATTCACTTAACTCTCATTTAATTGGGACAAAAATTATCCTAGGAATGGTTTGGAGTGAGAGGAGAAGGAGAGAGGAGAGGAAAGAGAGACAGAGAGGACATAAATAATATTGGATCTTGCACTCATCTTCTAGAGATGACCTTCACACAGATCGTCCTAACAAACATCAGTTTCTTTACTTGGCAGCAACACAGTGATGCCTTCAGAGAACACTCAAGAGTGCTTAGGGATATTTGCTCTGCATTAAATTATCCCAGACTGTTGTGCCTTCTTGGTGCATTCTGTCTCCATCTCTGCCACTAGCTGTCACTTTGCTCTGCAGCCAGTGTGTCTGTACCTAGTGGCTTCTCTCCATCTTTCCACATCTTTGATGTGTTTCATTTTCTTCCAGCAGCAGCTAGGAAAAACTGAAGCATGCCAGGGGAAAACCACAGATGTAAGCTTGCTCTTTATTGCCCTAATTTTGTTCACAATGTTCTTAGAGCACTCTAGAAGCGGACTAATTCCTCTCTTCTTATAAGGAATAGTGACCAGGATTTGGAGACTCCATCTGTTCTGTTCATGGCATTTTCACATACAGGACAGGCTTGTGGCTCTTTCCCTGGATGTTGATCAAAAGTCTGACATTAGGTAAGAAAAGTATTGCATTTTTTTCTTGAAGACTGTGGCAGTCTGGTCATTGTTCCCAATCTTTTGTACCTTTTTCTACCTGCCCAGCTAGAGATTACATGGATGAGCTTCCTCTGCAGTTATGTGTGGCCCAATGACTGCATTTTCTCCTATGAAATGTGACTTGAAGAGATATGTGCAACTTCCACTCTTCTTTCCTCACAGAAAATCACTTCATCGGGACTTCCTGTTTTCCTCTGTTCTTCCGGACTGGAGGGCAGACTTGAGAGACCAGCCTTGATCATGCAAAGAAGGATGGCAGCCTAGGGAACAGTACTCTTCATGGAACACACAGGCACTCCCTTTCCTTGGGCTAGTCAAGAAAACTGCATAAAAGGAAATAAATCTTCATTTTATTTGCACAACTCTAATTTGGGGTCTTTTCATTACACCAACTTAGATATTATCCTAACACAGACATCTTATGAAATTCCCAAATATTTAAAGGATTGTATTCTAAAAGTTGATCTGGATACTGTACAACAATGTAAAGAATGAACAATTGGTAATAAACTATTGATATTGGAAAAGGATAAACGAACTCTTTTTTACTTGTAGTTGACATAATTGTGTTTGTAGAAAATCCTAAGAAACCTACAAAAAAGCTGTAAAAATTAATGAATTTAGCAAGATCAGAGGATGCAAGATTAGTAACAAGACCCATGTTGGTGCCACGTTAATGCATGAACTTGGAAGTGCTGCCTCTACTGAATGTTCTCAGAATAAGAGTTCATCTATTTATTTGTTCATTCATTTAATTCTTTTGAAGAGCAAACAGTGCTCACTACATACCAGCTCTAGAGTAAACTGCTGGAAATACACAGACATGCAAGATAGATCCTCTGGTCCCTAAGAGTTTTTGGTCAAGGAGCCAGATATTTAAACCAATAGTTTAAAAAATATGTGCAAAAGGAGGAGAAAATTCAGCCAACAGCTAAAATTGGGCTTTGGCATCAGTCAGACCATTATTCAATTCTCAGCCTCAACATTTTCTACCCAGTGGGCTTATACAACATTCTTGACTCTCGGCTTCTTTATCTGCAAAGTGGGGGCAATTG